CAAAAACGATTGAAGAGATAGGGAGGGCTCGGTCGACGATAAAACAAGGACGGGACGGATCACGCGCTGAGGGGGTGGAAAAAAAAGTAGGCGGCGATGCGGGCTGAAATGCATCAATATCGTTCGCCGCGCGCGACCCAACCGATGCAAGATAATTCGCTCTAATGCACGAAAAGCATTAACCGGGACACGCCCGCTGCACCGACCGGTTCGATTTCATTTTTCACTCGTTTTCCAGCGTATCCCTTCTCCCAATATCAGTCTGGAAGCCAATCTCTTCTCCTCCGTCTAGCAAATCCCAGACTTGAGGATTGTTTCCCGCGACAAAAAACCCGTCCGCCGGTAAGCGAGTCTCGAAAAAAAAAAGGTCGACCTGAATATCCCCCTGGCGGCCTGTATACAGGGTGAACCACGAATCGTGATCGGTAGAGAACACTCTGTTATTAGCTGGCCGATTGGAAATTTTTTTATCAGGTATAGCATGGTTTCAAGAGAGCTTTAACATGATTATAGCAAATTTTTCATGATTTTTAAAGGTCACCTTCAATTTTTTACAAATACACCTATAATTTTTTTACGCCTATCTGTTAGAGGATTTTTTTTTTTAATTTAAGCGATGTTCAGAATGGTGTCCGTCAGATGCAATGCACTCTGTAGACGGCGAATAAAAGAATAAATTTGCTATAATTACGTTAAAGCTCTCTTGAAACTATGCTATACCTGATAAAAACATTTTCGATCGGACTGCTAATAACAGAGTAATCTCTACTGATCACAATTCGTGGTTCATCCTGTACAGGGTGATACGAAAAAGGGTTCATCATTCGTATGGTAGATAGTACTCGAAAATTGATGAAAAAATGTCCTAATAAACGTGTCACTCACCAGGAATTTCCCATTCAACTCTCATGGAGCCTTTACTGTATTATCATATGAACCCTTCTTTGTTGTATCATCCTGTACATTCACGAGCCGGGATAGGTACTTCACCGTTTCTATAATTGACTCGTATTAACATTCGGTATATACAGTGTGTCTTCTCGAGCACAGAGGATATTCAAAGTGGCTGCTTCCCTGACCCAGGGGGAAGTCTGTATCAATATTTGCCGTGCCATCGACGACGGGGCTGGTTCTCAGCAGATCATTCCGTAAATATAATATACAATACGTCGCGACCTCTTCGGCACAGTCTGGAACCGGATAGAAAAACGGATAGGCAGACACTCCACCTGGACGGAATATCGGTATTCGCTTCGGCCGGTGATCTTCCGAGAGGATCATTAGGTTCGAAAAGCGATTCGCCAAGTTCCGTAATGCTCTCACGAAAAAAGTTCTTGCATGACAGAGAAAACGGGGGGGTGCTCGAGACACCGCCGTTGTCAGCAGTAACGTAATTGCGTTCGCTCGATCGAAGAAATTCCATCCCCACCCCCGTTATCTTTCTGAAACGGTCTATTTTCCGGTCTCTTCTACGCGGATAATTCGAGACTGCGCCGGTGCTCGCCCGTTGAATTATGCTCGATGATATATACCGATCAGTGGGCACACCCTAGGGGGCGGGGGTGGAAATTTATAACCGTTAAATCTGTTAAAAATATCGTCCATTCAAGGGGTATCCGCGGGGGACCGCGATAAAACCGTCCCGGCTATTGAAACGTATTAGCTATTGGAACCGTGCGTTTCGAACGAGACCAGTTTCTCGTTCGTCCATTGCCAAATGGTTCTTTCTCATAGTGCCTCGGTAGTCTTCATGCCTCGAGTGAATTTTGTATAGATAAGTAGAGACCTTACGATGATACCTTAAGACTCCACAGCTAATAAGATATACCTGAACAGAACGGATATGTAATTACATCGAACAAGTGAATGTACGATCGACGGGGAGAAGCGTGTGATTAGAAATTTGACCCCCTACAGCCCCGAAAGATTCAATAAACGAATTGTTACTGTATTTACATCTCGTGGCGTTGGAAAACGCGTGAAAAAACGAACCACGATAAAACTGACGCACAAGATGTGCCCGAGTAATCGGTCGGGAGGGGAGTGATGAGGATTCCCGGGGTGCGCTGACCGATTTATATTCTCCTAGCTTTTTTTTTTCTGCTCCCTTTATAAATTGTTATTTCGCAAAACGGCGATCTCCCCGGAGGGGTGGACAAAGGCGACGTCTGTATGCGTGGTGGATCAACTACGAGAGAAGTGGAGGAGGGGAATCGGAGAATGGCGACCACCGGCCCCGTTTCCGACATTTATATCTCTTCCGGCGACAGACGTGCTCGTAATTCATGTCCCCTTGTTTTTCGGGACTTTCACGGCGACATTTTCAGCTCGTTCCTCTGTCGTTCGTTCAGCCCGCACAAGCGGAATTCGGGTGGTCCTGGCGTCCCTGAGAAATGGCATAGTCGTGTCACAGAGACTCGGCCTGACGAGTTGTAAAATTCGTCGGGAATCGCGTTGATCCGGCGATCTCGCTGTGGTTGTATATCGGTTTCCTTGTTTCGTGGATTCCGACGGTGGACTACGGAACTATTCTTGTTCCGCCACGGAAACTCGTCTGGTTGCCCGTCCTACTAATTAAGATGTATCGATAATAGGAAAAAGAATTAGGGAAGCAGAGCTCCCGTTTTTGATACACGTACCAAACGAGTAATGACACATGGTAATGTAATTTCGAAGTAGTCCCAGAACGAAAAATTTGATCCTGGATTAACCGAAGCTCAGCTGGAAGCTGGGCAAGACCTAATTTTTTCGAATACGAATCTTATTTCGATGAGTGGACCAAAGATAGGTGGCGCCTGCACATCGAAATTGCTCAGATTTAAATCTCATCTTCATTCGATTAGCATTTTGAGCGGCCGGGAAAACTTAAAGTTCGCTCGGAGCTTCGCGAAGGAGGTAAAGAGGAGACGAGTTTTACGGAATAAGAAGCGTATTTTCGATGAGAAGGTCCCCGGTAGGTGTCTCGTGGTTCCTGGATTGTCTTGCCAGGAGACACTAGAATGCACGCTGTACTCGTCGGAACTTTATGGGCGTGCAGAGGAATTCTGTCGGGAGAAACGAGCACAGTACAAGCCTTATGAAATAAGATAACGGCTGGATTTACGTAGGACCGCGAGGCAGGAATATTAGCGTCCTGAAATAAAAACTGGGATGAATCGTAAACGGGGAATTATGGTTTCATCGTGAGCAACGGTGTACGCAAGTTGAAACGGACACGTTCGGCCCTCGAAACGGTTTTCACCGGTGATATGTATTACCGTCCGGAAAACGAAAAGGCAATTCCGTTGTTGCGATCGAACGTCGACAGGGGACGGAAAACATGGCCGGGTGGGAAACGAATTCCATTTTGAGTGAAAAAAAAAAAGAATTAGTTCCGTGAAACGATATACAAGACATCCACTTGGTTTACCCCTTGCCCTCGAATTCGGTGGCTCGATCGATCGAATTACGCGGGTTGTTCATTTAATTATCCCACGGTGATAAATGAACGTTCGGGGAATCGTGAAATTTCAGGGAATTAGGTGATTGATTTAGAATCGTTACGCGTCATATGTGTTGGCCGGAGTAATTCGCGAATTGGTTGATGAATTAAACTGGACGGTTCAATTATCGAACGTTCGCGACTTCTTTTGTTCCCAACCACCCCGAATGCCCAATAGAATTTATGCACGTGGAAAAGTTACGCAACACCCGCACGTATTATACCCTCGGTTACGAAGAACACCGCTTCATCATTGTTCAATGGGCCCAGATGGTTATTCCCCCGGGCTCAGACATTTCTATTTTTCCACCCCCTTTCGTTTTTTTAAAGAGCATCCACGCCCGGATCTCGATTCTTTATCGGCACCGTCGTCGATTTGCACGGTCCTCACCGCGAATATTCCCTCGGCACCGATCCCACCGTTCCCGTTCGTCGGAAAACGCTTCGATTTCCATCGAAACCGGAGAACCGCTCTCTTCGTCCCTCGAATAGCTCTTCCTCGACTCGACTTCTCTCGGTACACAGGCCAAATAACTTGCAAAAAGATGAACGATTCACGATCACTCTTTCACGCGAGGCAAGATATTCGAATGTACTTTTAACCTCCTGTCTCATAAGAATTTGATACAAAAGACTTTCGCAAGTGGGTACGATTGGACACGATGATACGACGACGATGTCTCTCAAGACCATAAATAATATGCTCGAACGTGGTATGAGAAATGTATCTTATTTCACTCGCGAAAACGGTTCGTTTAGCTCTTCAATATTTCAGCTTTCTACTATTCCCGAAAGAAAAGTCACAGGGACTTAAGCCACTCTGTATTCAGATTCGTTTCAGATTTAATATTCATATCAGGTTCGTGTGATTCCAAACACATTTTCTGTCAGGGCTCCACCATAGATATGATATAAGCATAGGTGTAAGAAACAAATCTTTCGTCAAAACTAAACTAACCCTTCTATTTTACATTCTATCAAATATCATAATTAATAATACGGAAAGTTGTGTAGACGTAAAAAGCTGTTCTCCTTTTATCGAAGCTCCGACGGAAACTATCAAACAAAGATCTCTGCGTCGCGCCAAGTGGCAAGGGTGTGTAGTCAAAGGTGCGAGAGAGGGGCTTCTAAAAGGGGGGTTGTCAGGTGCTGCGTGTATCCTAGGCATACCAAAACGCGTGCACTGTCCCGACCAAGGGGTGTTGCTCGTGCAGGTGCTCGTGTGTGTATTTACATATGTGTGAGAGAGAGAGAGAGAGAGAGAGTGTCAGTGATCGATATATCCATTCTCTGATCAACATACCGAGGCTATGTTAAACGGGGATGGTGACAGAGTCCTTCGCCGGTAATCTGTACTAAGTATCTTCGGACGATTACTAAGGGGGGTGGGGGTGGAGGAATAGGATAATTCTCAAGGCATAGATGCTTCGATAACGATGGATGCTGGGAGGGAATCGAGACGATGTTCGAGGCGGTCTCCAACGAGCGATGATATCCACGTCGCGACGTTATTCCATCGTTAAATGTAGGTTTGCTCGCACGAACTCTCTTGGCTTCCTCGCACGTGGTGGATCGAGTACGCGGAATAGTATCTTCCGGAGGCGAATCTCTGAAAAAACATTAATACACTGGACACCACGAACCGGCCATTCAACCCTTTGTCTTAATCTTTCCACAATGGACTCCAGTTGTCGAGATCCGTCTAGACTATAGGGTCTAGTAATCTCTAGGACCTTTACTTCCATTCAAATTGATTCGATATAATAATGTTTCTGTCTTCTAGGAATACATTCAACGCGATAGAGTCGACTGTTAGGGCTCTATTCCCTTCCTCTCCTACACGATGAGGTATAGTTACCAGGGAGATATATTTCCACGGACGTGGGACGCGTCATGGGACGAAGTTCGCATGCAAACGGGAACGCAAAACAGGCAAATCGAATTCATGGAAATTAGATTCGGTTGCAGACTACGACTCGAACAGAGAACCGTATCATCTTTCTTTCTCTGTATCGAACTCCGGGGGAGGAGTTGTGTGCTCGTCAAACTTCGAGCTTTTTCCGTTTTAATAAATAAGAAAAGTTTTTCGTCGCTGCGTTCGTAGGAGTTCTGCGAGTTCTGGAAGATAACCAATATGTTGCCGACTACCGAGATCGAATAACTTTCGAGACTTAGGGGTTTTCGATTTCGTAATGTATCATTACTCCGACGCGTCCCACAGTGCGGCCAAGAATGGACAAAAGTAAAGAAATTATTGTTTAATATCGACCCGATAATATATTTGAACTTTGTGTTAATCTCTAAACGACCATATTTTGTCAAATTAAGATTCAAAAAAATTCATTAACGGATTAGTTACAAGCGTTTTCTGCCAGCAAATATCGAGGTACACTAATTTAATAAAAAAATGTTTCGAACAAAATTTCGTCGGTATACAGTTGACGACAAATTGTAATAGTAAATATCGATAAAAAACTTTTTATTCGATAAATAATCAAGACCACCTCAATTGTGTATCATCTCTCATTTTTGTATTTTCTTCGACAAAATTAATAGGATACTTAGGTCAAAATTTGTTTAATTCAGAAGTTATGATTGTTTACCCTAACGCCCGTATACTCGCCGTTCGAAGTAGCTTCGTCCCGTGCAACTCCGACGACAAGCTGATTATCCGCTTGGTCTTCGCGACGAAAACATTTTGGTATCTCGATAGAAATGGAATTAAGAGGACACGAAATGGAACACGCAGATATATACGGGCCAGCACAAGTTGTTCGAAGGTTAACAGGATCGACGTTATCCGAGGATGATCACGGAGGAATCCTGTGTCGCGGAAACGGGCGACTCGCGAAAAGTTTAGCGATCGGAATAATAAATTTCTCTCTCCTCCTTGGCTGGTTCTCAAGCTTACGTTATATGTGATCGCGACTCGACACGAGCGTTAGCGTGTTTCCTTGACCGCTTTATACTTGGGTCGAAAAGCCCCGTCCACCTTTCCGGTCTCGTTGCGATCTTAAGGAATTTTTACGATGATGGAGATCTTCGACGTTCGCCTGTTGCTCTCTGAAGCTTCCCAGGCTTAAACCTGACGAAGAATATATCGGGGAAAAAGACGCGTCGACGAATTAAATAAACGAAGCCGTGATATTTCGACGAGATGAAACGAACACGCATGTGGGGAACTATGACGCAAACGGATACACGATATTTTTGCGATGTAAATTGAGTTTGACCGATCACGAAACTAATGATTCATTCTATCGATTTGCTGCGCACGTAAATTCACCGTTCAATAGAAATTCAACCGTGAAATGTATCGTGACTTCACATTCATACGTCGATTGCTATCCAGTGTTCATGTTGTCCGGTCTAATTGAACGAATTGATGGTAAAATGTTACAGTGTATTTTTATCGCGGTTCATTAATAACAGTCACAAACGAAGCGACGTTCTATTGTTCGAGGGGAAAATACATGGAATTTAAAAAAGGATGCAATTTTCATTTGTTCAAAATATTCAAAGAGATCTAGGTTGCATCCTATGAAGTAGAATGTTGCATCTGGCTCTAGAAAATGAGGGTTCAAGTCCGTGGATTTGATCGCTGGTCCCTCTGAAAAGGATTGGGCAATTCAAATCGAAGACTTTCTATTTTTTAGTCCACGTTAGGGCTGTTTCGATATTTTACAAACAACGCCATTGCGTTCCACGAGACAAGGGTGAATGCGATTTTCAGCGTAATTTACGGCACCTCCGACAGGGGTTGTTTTCGGCCGGGTGAATGTTTTTAGGCTCGCGGAACCGGAACAACCCTTGTAGCTCGCGTGTTTCCCTCGCGGTTTCACCCGGGATCGGGACGACGCGGATAGCTACCTTTCGCGCGAGGGAAATATGAATATTTCATACTCACTTGACTTGGTTTACATCTGAATGCCGGCTGATATCGCCGTCTCATCCGTCTCGGGCAGCAGCCGCACAGGATCCTCGTGAAAGCTCTGAAAAAGAGAGGAGAACCGGGATCTGAATCGAATGCGTACGGACCACCGTGCATCTACGTCTGATTTAGAAACCCCCCAATACGCTTCTCAGGGGTAGGTTCTTAGCCTGAAGATAAATTCGTTCGGATGTCATTGCCCTAGGGACACTTCCTACGCTTTAAGATCTGGATTAATATTTCCCAGCGTGATACGCCTCACCGAGAGGGAATTCGAATATTTTTTTGGGGGAGGGGAAATCAGCAAATCATTAACATTCAGCGTACAATAGTTTTACGTATCTGACTTTTTTATTTGAAGCATCTGTTAATGCTAAACTTTTTTAGAACATAGTTTGGTATTATGCTTGGGGGGCATCGAAATCTTCGAGGCGTTCAAGCGGGGCATAATCCAAAAAAGGCTGGGAAACACTAGATCTAGATGAATGAATATCCAAAATGGTAGCAATTATCGTCCCTTCGCACGCGATTGTCTGCTAGGTGATCGTCCTGGATCTGTTACACTTACATTATCCTCGAACCAATAATTAAAACTAGTTCTACACTTGGATCAAAGGAAAATAGAGCAGATAAGGTTGTAGAGAAATTCTATATAGATACTATCGATCCTGCAAGCTTTCGCCAGACGTCGCCAGACACCTGGACAAAGGGCGTGGAAAATTCACGGACGAAATCCCACGGTTCACGCGTCGCGGTTCGCTAACAACGGCGGGTCGCATCGGTTCGGAACCGATCATCCGTGAGGGCTGCACTGCCGATAACGGGGTACCTTCGTCGGGCCATTGTAAAATCCAGCTGGAAAGTTGGTCACGTCGCGACAGCAATGGTTTCCAACGTCACGATCGCATGACTGGAACGTTGTTTCAAATAACGCGCGCGCGCTCCGCAAGTATTTGCATAGGGGCCATTGTAGCGTGAACTGACGACATGCGATTACTTGGGGTACGACGGAAATTTCATTTTCACCGATGGAGAGAGAAGAAGAGAAAAAAAAAACAGAAACGTGGACGTATTCGGTGGTACGGTGGTCGTTATATCACCTGCCCGCGATATCAGATGATCGGAGATAAATCCCGTAGGTAAAATTGAAATTTTCACCAGGCAACGAGGCCCTGATAGAAATTCGTTATCGGGGCGGAACGTATCGAGAGAGCATGTAACAAGCGAGCACACGATCGTTTCAGCGATACGTATCTAGCAGAGGACATCGAGTCCTTGATTATCTTGCTTCGTCGTCGTCGTCCAATCGGAGGATAGCTACCTGGCCTGGCACTTATAACGCCATCAAGCGTGACGGTTTCGTTACTATCGAGAGATCAGTCAGAGGTCTGTCTTCGTGGAAGCTTCGTGGACATGGCGATTCCTCGGTGTCACTTTCGTTACCTTCTTCGTGTTATCTTTGTGCTTTTATTGACGCACTCTGCGTCCTTCATCGTCGTGCCTGTCGACTTTCTCGAGGTGTACCAGCGTGAGGAAAAATTTGGCGATCGAAGATTGATCGTTGAGAGTATCGAAAACGATTTGTATCAACGGGAACAATTATCATACTCGATACCGTGCATCCAGAGCTTTTTGAACAAGTACGTGGAAAACGCAAGTGGGTCTGTGTTTATTATTGTGGACGAGGAGAACCTAAACGAAATCGTCCAGCCATTAGTGACCTGGATGAAAGGACACTTTGCCTTTTTCTCACGTTCTGTCGACGACGATATCGTGGTACAAGATACCGCTACCAGTACGATCATGCTGATGTCCACAGGCGACAGCCTCAATGATACCTTCCGCGTACCGGATCCTTGCGATCGAGGTTGCCTGTTTGTGATCATTTTGGTCGACAAGTTCGAAGACCAAGAAAGTTTCCTCGACGACACTTACGTCCTCGCGAAGACGTTGTGGAAGCGGCGAGTCTCAGCTGTAGCTGTTTTAGGAAGTGTAGCTGGTTCTGTAGCGGTGGCTGGCAGCACTTCCTTCCAGCCTTACAGATACTGCACGATCTCTCCACCAGTTATCTTGGATAGATGCGAGGGTAACGATTGGAAGAACCTGAAGACAATCGATTTCCCAGATCTGAACAATTGCGACCTAATGATAGCTTACTTCGATAACCCTCCGTACGTGGTCAGTTTAAAGGAATCGGTGAGATTGAACGGATTCGAGGGTACCTTGATCGAGGAGGTCAGCAAGCAGTATCAATTGATACGGCAGAGAGCCGAATGGAGTCTGAACACCAGCTACGCGGAACAGGTGAAACTGTTGATCTTCGACGACACGATGGCCGATTTAGTTGTCGGTGGGTTACTGCAACAATCTGAACCTGATGTCGAATACTCGACCACCTACGACATACTGAAGGTTGTCTGGATAGTGCCAAAGATTCCAAAGGTTTCGCTGGAAGGGCTGGTGCAGCCGTTTCATCCATTCGTATGGGCGGCCATAGGCGGAACTTTGCTTCTCGGTGGTTCGATCAAGTCCTTCTTGATGCCCGACGTCTCCTGGCTGGAGATCTTCGCTTTGCTAATCGGTGTTGCCTTTTATCGACAGCCCACCAGGCTCTCGAGGAGAATCCACTTTATTTCGTGGAGCATATTCGGTCTGTTTCTCACCCAGTTGTACGTCGACTCGCTCGCTGATCAGCTGATCAACGTGTCGGACCTAAAGATCGAGACTATGAAGGATCTGATCGCGTCGTCCTTCAGTATTGGCGGCACCGGTGCGCTCGTGGAGCTATTCGATGACTTCGAAGAAACTGACGAGATCATGGAACAGATACGAGAGAATTTCGTCACCTTCGATCAGGATACGTACAACGAACAGCTCGGGGATCTCTTGGTTGGTAAGAACACCACGTTTGCTCTGGTAGCTGTGCTGAATTCATCGCGAACCAAAGCGGTCGAGACCACCTACGCTTACACGATGACTTCGGACGTGATCTGCAGCTATCCCCTCGCCGTGGCCACCTGGAAGGGATTCCCTCAATTACGCACGATCAACGCGAGGATCCAGAATTTCATCGACTTCGGTGTCTTCGACTTTATGATCGGGTTGGCTCTGAGCAACGACACGCGCGCCAAGAAGTTCGCCATTGCGCAGAACGAGGAGTACAAGTCGAATCTCCATCTCCAGCAGTTTGTGCCTGCCTTTCTTTTAATGGTCATTGGATTCTCTAGTGGCTTTCTATTTCTGTTTCTGGAAATCTTGGTATTCCCCTGGAGGGTGCTCGGTTGATCCAGGCCAATCTAGATCCTAGACATTTAATCTTTTAGCTTCTATACGCCACTACAGTGGCTTTCCTCTAAGTGTAACTGTTCAACGATCCGCCACTACTGGCTCACTTGTTTATTTCGCATTGAAAATCGTGGACATTATTTATATTTAAACATGGCAAAATAGTGGAAAGTATCAAAGTGTGAAAAATTATAGTGCAGTCCACGGTAAAGTTGTCCGTACAGCTCCGCGAAAAGTTCCGTAAAAAGTGAAGGGTTGTTTCATGGATAGAGCGTGGCGACGCTTAAATCAGGGGATGGAGCTCGTTCCACGGACAGGGCAGCAATGAACAGTTCCGCGTAATACCAGGAATTATTGTATCGCACTGCGAGAACGCTGTTGTCGTCCCGTAAAAGAATAACCATCCAAAGTGACGGGGGTGGGATATCGTTTTACCATAGATTATCGGCTTTCGCTTTATGAATTATAGACGGATATTGGATTGCAGCTGGACGGACGCTGGTTAGGTGTGCTGTAACCTTTTCGTCGAAACCGTGTATATACCCAGCAGTCGATTCGTGTCAAGGACGTGGGACACGATTGTTCCATGGGCTATTTGTACGGTGACGTTTATTGGGTGTCGCGGTGTTTGCCACACATCCCTCGTATCAGTCTAATAAACACATTCGGATTGCATTAATTGACTTTAATTATTATCGCTACGCCCTGGGGTTTGTTAATTCGACACGACAGAGGATGTTTCCAGACTGGGGAACGGTCCAATTAGCTCCGACACGGAAAGGCTAAGAAATCCCCCAGCGACAGCCCCCGTGGAAAAAAAGAAATGTTCCTCGATACTTAATTTCACATCCCTCGTATATCTAACTGAAGAAGATGATCCCCTCGTGCTGGCGGTCGGTCGTGTTGGCTTATTCATTGGCAAACCAGGACTGGTCCTCCACGGATTTGTGATCGAAGAGGAGTGTGTGTGATCCTGCGGCGATTTATTACGTGTCGTAAAAGGAACGCCATTTCCTCGGTTCAGGTAGTTGAATCCGTTACGGACGTTGGACACTGGTTCTAAAGGGAGCCTGACGATCACGGTACTCGTAATTACGCAGCTTTAATCGAGCAATCAGACCGTTCCGAAGGGGTTAAATGGGACAAATAGGTGTCTAAAAGGTGTCCACCTTTTCGTCTGATCAGCCGACCCCAGTTTATTCTCCCTTCGCTCTTTTTTATTCGTCCCATAAATTCGGTTCTCGCGTGTAGCTACGATGCCATTCCCCGAACGAATCTCGAGGATCTATCCGCAACGAACGAAATCCGCTTTACTCCTGAAACTAGGCGAAGTGAGCTTTCAGTTCGAAGACAGAGGCCTATCGAGACATTTTGTCTCTACATTCGTGTCTCCGAGAATAAAAGCATTATCTGCAGAGGGTAAATGCTTCCCTCGCTGTTTCAATTTCGCTCTCTCATTCCGGACGGAGTTTGGATAGCAAGCACTCGAAACACGCGAGTTCAAGAGCAGACAGCAAGCGTACCATGTAAAAATTGGCTTATACAAAATTGAAGCGCAATTTTCCCTAATTGACGGGCCTCCCATCAGCAACGTGAATATTTGCTAATATCGGGTACATTAGCGTTTGGAAGTTCCAGAATACCGAGCTCTCGACGACTCCTTCAACCCTCCCTCTGGCGTTTTCGCGTCGTCGTAATTTCGTTGGGCTTAACAAACCTTATTAGCTCGTTCGGGAAACACCATCGTCTCCCTGTTGTTCTTTCTATTCCGTTCCT